GATTACTGCTGTTTCAAGTGTTACTAGTAGTTTTGTGGATGAAGCTGCTGAAAGTACCTTGAGTAGCATACCACCAGAGAAGAAAAGCAAGCCAAGCAAACCTGAAGTCTCTCATCACGAGTTGGCACTAGAAGAAGAGGAAAATAATTTTTTCAATTCCTTCACAACTGTGCTACACAAGCAGAGAAATAAACTTCAGCAGTCTAATATAGAAGATGTTCCAGCAGTTGTTGAACCACTGGTGGAAAGCACCAAACATGAACCACCGAAGCCTCTCAGGTTTCTTCCTGGAGTCCTGGTTGGATGGGAAAATCAGCCTTCTACTCTGGAACTAGCAAATAAACCATTGCCAGTGGATGATATTCTTCAAAGTCTGTTGGGTACGACAGGGCAGGTATACGAACACAGCAAGTCAGAAGCAGGTCCTAGTGAAGAGATACCATTATTAAATGAACAGGCAACCTTGAAAGAAGAAAACATCGATGTTGCTGATATAACTACGGAAGTTAGTGAAGCAAAGACTGGTTTGGATGATCTGCAAGAATCCACTAACACTGCTGTAACTGTGGATACAGCAGCTGCAGGGACCTCAAGTTCTGCAAAAAGTGCTGGTTCTTTGATAGGGTTGAGTCTTAAGGGAAAACCTCCAGATGTCTCCACAGAAGCATTTTTAGCAAATTTATCTGCTCAGTCACAGAATAAAGAAACAGAAGAAAGTAAAGAAAATGACCCAAAGTTGCAGGTACCAGACAAGGATAGTGTTTCACAGGAAGTTAAAAGGAGCACAAATTCCAGCTTTTCTTCCTCATCAAATGCAGGGAAAAAACCCAATGAGAACAATGTTAGTGTAGGTTCTGCTGAAGGTACCACTGCTAGTACCTCTAAATCACCACCATTTATTAATCTTAAAAGAGACCCACGACAGGCAGCTGGACGAAGCCAGCAGACTAATACTTCAGAAAACAAGGATGGAGACGTTAGCAGAAGTGAAGACCGACAGAATCCTTCAGGAAATGATCAAGTAGAACCAGAGAATAAACAGTCTTCTGGAGAAGTTGGCTTAAACCTGTATCAAAGTGATCTGCAAACCAATGAGTCGCAGTTCAGTTCAGCTGCAGCTAAAGCAGATAGCACAGTTGCATCACAAGCGGAAGATAACAAACACTCACAGGAAGATACACTGATGCAAAACATTGAAACAGTGAATTCATTTAGAAGAGGACCAGCAGCAACTTCATCTCATTTTGAAACCGAAAATTCTTCTCGTTCTGAATTTATTTCCAAAGTCCCAAGCCCTGTTACAAGCGGCAGCTTCTCATCTGTTGGACCTCCGCAGCAGAATTTTCAGCATCCTAAACCTAATCCACCTGGATTTCAGTTTCAGGCTCCTGCACCTCATAACTTCCCTCAGCAAAGCAACCCTATGTTTGGATTTCCTCCTCATTTACCACCTCCGCTTCTTCCTCCTCCTGGCTTTGGTTTTCCTCAAAATCCAATGATGCCATGGCCACCAGTAGCTCATTTATCAGGCCAGCCACCACATTATGCTGGACCCATTGCACAAGGGCTACCAGTGGCTCACAAACAATCAAGATTTTTGGGACCAGAAAATTTTTTTCAGACTAAAGACAGTAGGAGACCAGAAAGACGCCACAGCGATCCTTGGGGCAGAGAAGAACAGCATTTGGAGAGAGGGTTCAGTAGAGGAAAAAATGATCGACAAAGGCTTTACAGTGAAACCCATCACCAAAAAAAAGAGAGACATGAAAAAGAGTGGAGCAATGAAAAGTACTGGGAGCAAGATTCTGAGAGAAACAGACGCAGAGACAGAAACCAGGAAAAAGAGAGAGAGAGGAAGAGTAGAGAGGAAGGACAGAGAGACAAAGAAAGAGTGCGGTCTCCACACAGTGATAGGGCTGCTGATGGAAAAAGCCCCAGAGAGACTAGAAATCCAGAAAAAAAAACAGAGAAGCCTAAAAGTGAAGAACAGGCTCATGAAAAAGATAAGGAGAGGGAGAAAAGCAAAGAGAAGCATAGAGAACGAGAAAGTGAAAAGAACAGAGAGAGACATAGGGACCACAGTGACAGAACTAAAAGTAAAAGGTAAAAAGATGCAGGCAGTCTTTTAAAATCCTATTTAAATAAACTGTTAGAGTAATGTCGTAAAACTTTGTATAAAAAAAAGAGCCTGCTAGGATTGTGCCATCTTTTTTATTCCATGTTGGTGTTTTGCAGAAACAAGTCTGTGTTTTGGTACCACTCGAGGTACCAATACTCATCCTTTTTTTTCATTATACCAACTATCGCTAGAAGTAGGAGTTTAATATTTTTAAAAATTTTACATTGCTGTATATTCAAAATTTTAAAGATTTCTTTTATTAATATGCAATAAAGGCTTAGGAATTTTGTTAGTTGAGGAAGTTGGCTTTAGTCAAGTCTGCAATATAGTTGCTGCCTTTGGTAATTTGTGCTCTCTTCTGTTTTAAGATGCTCTGATAATTTTAAAGGTGATTTTCATACAATAACCTTCTTTTTAAATTGCACTGTTTTTAAAGACTGTAGCAAAGCCTCAGAATCCACACATTACAACAAAACAATATGCTTGGTGGTGTGAAGAGTTTGGTTTTTTTTTAAATTATTCAGTAGTACAGTAAAAAAATTCAAGTGTATTTCATTAGTTTTCAAGTATTTCCTAAGCATCTGAAGCAGTTTGTGACCAGAAATTGGAAGGCTGAGCTGCTCGAATGTTAATGCTTTAAACTGCACTTGTTTTAATAAGAAAGCATTTTTAACCTAAATTCTTGAAAATATGATTTGTAGTAGTAAATTCATTTCTCCCACCATTTTCCATGCTTCAAAAACTTGAATACCTAAGCTTGTACATTACTTTGTGTTTTGCTATCCTTTTTACTGTAAAATGTAAATATTTTAAGGGATATTTTGATTCTAAAATGATAAAACTTTCTCACATACTGTGTGTGTTTGATTTCATAGGTGTGAAACTGTAGTCTAAATGAATATGGAAAGCTGAATCACATAATGCCACATTTGTTGTACGCTTCATGGCTTGGTTTGTTTTGAGTTTTGGAGAACAAACAGGCGGGAGGGGGCAGAAGAGTGTTTATACCTTTGGGACTTGGGGTAAATTGATATTTTGTAGTGATTACTATCCACTGATGCCAAACAATGCGAACGTGAAAACCAACTCAAGTCACCTACTCTTACACTTCTTAAAATACACTGGGCATCTTGTTGAATCTGTCAGAAATAACAAAAATATTCCACCATATAAAGAAAAATTGAGATTTATTGTTCTGTTTTTCAGCGTTTTATTTTTAGCTTTGAGTACACAACCTTACTATGCTGCTGACGTAACATTTTGCACGTAGCTGTAGAAAAACCTCTTCTCTCCAGGAAGGTCTTCCCAGTTTAACAACACCCTAATTGTTAGTTTTAATTATGAATATATTTTAAAGTAAAATTTTACTCGAATACCTTGCAGGTAGCTTCGTGATCAAATTGATCAAAATTAAAAATCTTGCACAGGATAAAGGGGGTGGTAGACTTTTATTAGGTGATGTTTCTTACGCTCATAGTTGAGAAGACTAATTTAAAAAAAAAATCTTCAGTTTGTTAGTAACTAAAAGCAATATTTAAACATTTTTATAGAATGACAAATTAAATTAGTATTTTCCCAATTAATTCTATCGTCTCTATAGCAGTAGTGCCATTGGATATATCTGGTAGTATTATGCATGTGTTATATTGTTTAAATATTTCCATTAGAGTTCTGTAGGCACGTGAGTTTGTCTAAGCATTGTTCTCGTTTTGGAAGTAATTTTTAAATTGGCAGCTCTCCATGTGAAGATTTTGTTTTGACCTGTTCAAAAGCACTCTACTCCCAGTCCACTGGTGATCTGTCTCTCACACGCACATCCATCTGTGCTTTGAAAATAAACTGGGAGCAGTAAAAATTGCAACTGCCTGGACGGAAGGGATGGGAATGATTTCTGCCAGAACTATCAGAAATAATTTGCTTGGAAAGAATATGTAAACATTTTGCAAGTTTGCTGAGTGCTTTGCTACCTGCTTCATGTATGTAGAACCTAAAGAGAGCTGCAGTAAAACAGCTCTTAAGGAAGAGTTTTGTTAAGTGTTTAAATTAACAAAAAGCAACAGTCTGCAGGACATGTTCCTAGGATCTGAGTTAGTGTAATGGGAATAAATCCTGTTACTACAGGAATAAAGGATTTTATCTTCTCTGTTGCCTTCAGTCAGTCTCCTTCCAACGCTTGTGTTAGCTGGAACTGCTTTGATTACTTGTTCCTTGTTTTACCTTGACTCACTGCTCAGATCACAAAGGGCAGTGTGCACTGCTGAGGAACTGGCAGTACACCAGAAGCCCTAGAGGGAACAGGACAAACGCTAAATATACTCCCCTCTCCAGCATCACATGGTGATAAAAGGCCCTACTTAGAGAGACTGGAAGAGTCTGGGGACGACTCAAATGCTAATTGGGCTTTATGAGCTGCCTGTTGGGAAGAGGCGAAGAAGCTCTGCTGCATCAAGCTGATCACTTGGGGCCTCAGAGCAGCAGCAGAAGGTAGAAAGAACCTCACAAATATGTTTGCGGATGCTTAATAAAACATCTTGGGGTAGTTCCATAGCCAAAGTGTGCAGCAGTAATCTTCAAGTCACCTGTTAACTGACTTGGCAGTGCATTCATTGCCACATATGAAGTATGGTTACATGGAGACAAGTGTGTGTCACCTAGTTTTAGGTGCTTATTGTCTCTGCTCCATATCTGCCTTATGGAAAGATAAACACGCACCCTGCCTTCACCTTCTTCCCCCCTGCCCCAGAATAGTTACTTGTTTCTGACCTGTTTTTACATTTTGAAAACTCATATTCAGAGAATTCCCATGCAAGGAGGTGATGTTTTATTATGTGCTTTTGAGCAATAGAAAAGTAAAAAAGGGAAAGATAGGAATCAATCACTATTATTTTTATTGAAGCCTTTTATTTATATAGTAAGCCAGCAGTCAAATGAGAAATGTAGATGTAGATAAATCATTGGTTTGAGCACATTAAAATAAACTGGATTTTTTTTTGTTGCTTCCTGAAGCAGAATATAACTGAACTTTTTCAGAGGGAATATAATTTTTGCATTTATAGATCAAGAGCTCTATTTACTTTTGATATTATGAATTAATGAAAGATATAGTCAGGGAAATTCAGTTTGTTATGACCAAAACCTTTGTCTAGTAAAATTTTGATATCTTATTTATGGGCATATAAGCCAGAAAGGTGTAGCTAAAGCAAAGCAGTTCTTGGACTTTCTGATTTTTAAGCTCTTAAGAATAGAAGTTACTTGTAGACAGAATGCCACATTCCCACATTCCGGTTGTGAATTGTTAAAGCAAAAAGTTTTCATGTAGTCAAATAGGGGGAGACCTCTGCTGGAGAAAACCAGCAGACCTTTTTTATCTCTCTTAAGTGAAATACCTTTTCTGCTCTTAAAATCATTCTTTGAGTGTAATATTTTAAGCCTGTGTTCATGCTAAGCTCTACTGCTTTACATAAATGCATACAGGATGGACAGAGACTCAGAAGGGAGGGAGAACTTCATTACCTAATTAGGATCTTTGTGGGCTTAACAAGTAATTACGGCTGTTATGATTTAAATAATTCTGATTACAATAGATATGTACTTTTTGCCCCAAATACACCTTTTCTTCCCTTCCCCAATTTCAGTTTTTACACTTGACCTTAATATTATAAAATTATAAGAGAAACACTAATAAAATTTGAGAGTTGGAGAAACAGGTTAACAGTTGTCTGTTCTCATAAAGCAACAAACAATACTTGAATGATGGTTGTCTTTATAAGCTAATTACTATCTATTTGTTGACAAAACTATTTCCAGCACAATAAATAAAAAATCCCATTATTTAAAGTAAATACTAAAGAGTATAAGTAAGTAATTTTAGGAGTAAAACATGTCTTATATCTATTAATACTCAACATAAAATTGTCCCTAATTACTTTTTTTTCTTAATGAAAAGCTTTCTTCTGTTGGTTTCTGAGTATTACACTGCCAACTAACACAAGAAACAGGAGGAAAAGGAAGTTTATCACTTTTACAGAGTCTTGAACATTTTTTCAATTAATTTCCAGAATTTCCATCATAAACATTGTACCCTTCTGCATTCATTAGCTGAATCTTCTTGGAATCTTGGAAGAGCACAACATCTTTAATTTTACCAATGAATTCCTTCTGAAAAAGCCCTGTAGTGACTACATTGACTTTCCTGCCAATTTCAAACCCACCAAAATAACAAATGCCACCATAGTTTAAAGCAGTGTATTTTCTTTGTGGATCAATGTCTTCAAAAAGAATTAGCTCCTCATCAAGATATACCTTAATACAGGTTTGGTTTTGAACTACAGTAACAAAATGCCATCTTCCGTCACAGCAGGTTAAGTATTTTCTGTGCATTAGAGGAACAGAGATTCTTTCTCCAAGATTAACCACAACTTTTAATGTTGCATTGGCAATACCAATGGCAAGGAAGTCATTATCTTCATCTTCACTTTTGCCTATCCATGCTATTAAGCCTTCAGTTTGATTGGTAGTAAAATTTAAAGAAATGCGGCTGTACCAGAGGTCTCTTTTTCTGTAATAAGAATCTGTGTATTTAATGTAGGAGTTGCCAACAAACTTTGCTATGTAAAATTTGATTTTTCTATCACAGTACTTACCTGACCAGCCTAGTGCACATACACAGGTGTATGAAAATGAAGAAGGTTGAGGAATACAGAGCGCTTGAGACCCACACATGTTTTGTGAACAGTGAACAGATTGTTCGCATGTGGTCCCTGTCCACTCGTGTGGGCAAGAACAAGAAAAGCCTGAGCTTTCAACTTGACATGTTGCGTTATTTTTGCACACTGAGTACCCACAAACTGTTCCGTCACAGTCACCAACATTGGCTCCGTCTTTGGGATCAGTCGCAGTAAGCTTCAGTTCCCTGTTGTTTATAACAATTTCTCGAATGCAACCAGTGAAACCTATGGGTTCATTTTCTACTGCCATTGAATTAACAAGGTTTAAGGAAGACACCCCTCCAACAAAAAAATCTGTGTGTGTGTCTAGTACATTCATTCCAGGACTAGCTTTTTGAGTAATGTTGATACCATCCAGGTCCAGGTAGCCTTCATTGCCAACTCTTCCTGCTTTGAGTAAGTGCCATGTATTTCCATTTGCACGGACCTTCTGAAGGGCCTGTAGGATGACTGTCTTGTCTCCGAGATTGTAGCGTAACTGTGTAAATCCATTTACTAATGATATACATAGAAAGTCACCTGTAAAAAACGGTATAAAAGAGTTTTAATTTCCAGAGGTGGTGCACTGAAGAACAGCATATTAGTAATCTTGATACTTTCTTGCCTGCACTTCCTTGTAACATCATCATCATGTCTAAATCACATAAAGAGAAGTGTTCCCTGATAAGCTGCTCTTGGCCCTCTTTTTCTTTTTTTACTCTTGTAAACTGAGCTTGTGTTTGCTTCAAGGTAAAAAACCCAACCTTCTGCAAAGCTCTGCTTTTGTGCAGAAACTAGGTAACTGTGAGGCAGGAGGAAACAGGATCGCTTTGGCATCCAGGAAATGTGAGTTGGTGGTTTTCCCATTGAAAAGAATCAAGTTTTGACCAACTTACAAAAGCAGAAATACTCTCAATTTCCATATACTTGATGGATTTGTTAGTTTAGTGCACTGAAGGTGAGTCTGCAGCAGACATACTCTGCTTTACCTGAAGCTCCTTTTCACAACAGGGATTTTTTGGGTTTAATATTCTGACAGCTGTAGGAACAGGTAAGCTTTTTATTGAATTGTTCTTCTGGAGGGCTCCATGACAGGAAGTATTAGGAAGGATTTTTCTTGTTCTATCAGTGTTTCTGGCCTTACAGGCAGTGTAAAAGGAGAGAGAGTACCACTTTGGACTGTACTTACAAATGTGAAGAAGAAAAGCTGGGAAAGGTTAGGAAATGGAAGCTGGAAGGAAAGTTTGTAAGATCAGCAGTAGAGTCTGATGGGGTAAGTGGCAGCGAGGCAGAAGAGGACAGCAGAATATTGTGCTATTGAAAGCTATATTTTCAACCTTTTTGATATTTGCCTATGCAATTTAATTTTTTTATATTACTTTTGGAAATAATAGGCATTGGGTTGTTGTTATCAGTTAAACTGGTAAACCAGTTTGTTAAACTTGAATGTAAGCTTTCTCTCCTAATAGTTACCGTTCCAATTTCCTTAAAGATTCAGCATTTTTAAGGGTGAACCTGTTAGTAGAATGATGAAGTTTACTTTCATGGGTGTTCAGTTTTTGAGTATTTCTGGTCCTTGAATTACATTGCTTTTAGTAAAGTTAAAGTGAATGGCATAATTTACTCGAGGCTTGTGAAAGTTGCTAAAACTATTACCTCCATTTTGCAGGAATTATTCAGGTTCCCATTCAGGCAGGGTGGAGATGGTTCAGTTGTATTAGTGGCTGTAGAGCACCTGCTTTGTGCCTCACCTTCCCTGCCCCAACCACCCATGGGAAGAAGAAAGCTCTTCATTCTTTCAACTCCAGTGATGGCAGAGCACTTCCTTCCTAGTTCTGGTTGTGATGACCTCTTTTACTTCCCTATGTTCAGTGTTCTTTTTGAGTACTTTGTCTTGTTACGGGTTTTTTTCAGAAAATTAATATAATTCTTTTCACTTGTGGTTTCTCCTACTCAGTGATGTGGCTTTAAGCTTGCTTAATTTTTCAGTGCATAGCTTGAAAGCACTCATCTGTCTTCAGCAATGTAAATAACCTGCTTGTCTATTTCTTTTGTCAGGACCTCAGTCCTAGGGTGAGAAAGGAGCATCAGGAAAAGTTTCTGAACTACCTCTTTGGCAACATTCAGTCTCCTTTCCTACCCAGACATGCAGACTTGCACAAGGACACAAATACTCATTTTTTGCTGTCTAGGAAGAAAGAAAACATTGACCAGCGTTGCTTTTTCATCTGACCTGTAATCAAGAGCTGGAGAAACTGGAAGTTCTCCAAGATTTCCAGGGAAGGTTTTTGGTAGCTTTGCACATTTGACAATGATCTGTCTGTTTTGGAATCTTATTTAGTCTTATTACAGAGCAAATCTGTGATTCTGCTATCTACAATGTGAAGAGGTTATTACTGAGTTATGAGTTATGGGACAAATTTGAAGCCTCACTTCAAATTGGAGTAAATTCTTTTTTTGCTACTTGTGAAGAAAAAAATTACACTTTCCAATTTCAACTCTCCTGAGGCTCTCAAAGGTACTTTCTTACGCCTCTGGTTAGACCCTCTCTTTTTACAAAGGCCTTGCCATTTTAGTCTTTGGTAAGAACAGCAGAAGGTTGAGATAAATTTTAGGATCTTGACATTGATCCCAGGGTTCAACTCAGTATTTCTCCATGAAGTTTATAATGTCATAGGTTCTACTGAAGGACAGCTGCCTGAAAACATTTTAGGACTCAATGTAAAGTGCAGTGTGTTCAGTGTCTAAGAAACTTCTGAAAGTGAAGGCAAATTATGAGCTTGTCTTTGTTCCTTTCACTTTAGCAACGAGTAACATTTTCAACAAGGGACCTTCATCTGCCCTGTCTCTGAGGGATGACTTGCACGCAACTGAAGCCTCTGCAGGCCTATGTCATCATAGGAATTGCATAACCATTTTAAACAAATGGCATTCTTGCGACTGTTTTTTTCCTCTCAGCTGTCTCAGCATAGGAGACCATGAAGCAAAGTGCTTTTTCACTATTTCAGTTTGATGATTTCTCAAACCTGTCTCACGTGACCTTAATTCATGCCAAAGCTGTTTCTGAGGAAGTTTACTTATTGTTAAGTGTGAAGGCAATGACATCCTTAGTTTATCCAGGACTAGACTATATAGCCTATCCCTACTTCCGTGAAAATATGATCCACATGCAGGACATAAAACTTTGCTTCCAGCTTTTCAGGTTAGTGTCTCATCGAATATGGGCTATTTATCTCCATCAGTAGAGTCACAGAAAAAGCAGAAACTCCTGAGGTAGGCAGTCACAGTCATTTTTTTGTTGTGCATGCAACTCTTTGCCCAACCTGTTTATCATGTGCAAGGAACTGTAAGGCAATCTGTGTCAACAAGTTTGAATCTTCTTTAGAAATAGGCTGTTGTATCTTAGCTATGCCTTGAAACTGCAGGTCATCAAGACACTATGTTTTGAACAAAATCGTTAAGGGTTACAGCATTTAGTTCTGATGTACCTTCCTGCCCCATCACCTTCCCTGTTTCAGTGAAATAAGAAGTGAGCTTTTTATAGCCGAAATGCTGAAAGATTGTTTCCTTGTCTTCTTAAGGGAAGGGAATTTTGCAGCAGGTATTACCTTAAGGAAGGACTTGTTCTGGAGTTAAAATAGCACTTTTACTTGCAAATTCTAGTTCAAGATTTTCACCAGGTGACAGAGGGTCAAATTTGCTCTCCTCAGGATGGATAATCTCTATTCCATAGCAGAAACCAGCACTCCAGCAGGTGTGAATTTTTCTTCATCACTTTAATTTTCATGTTTTCATTATGTGCACAAGTCTCACCTCCTCCCATATCAGATGTCAGAATTCCCAGAAGCCTAGTCATCCCTGTGTCCAGAGCAGTCAGTTCCTAAAACTGGGAGCTAATGAAAAGACTCTTCTAAGTACATCTGACTGCTGCTGTAAGATCTGGACTTCTGTAACAGTATCTTCTTATATGGCTTCTTACGATGAATTCTGAATGCATCACAAAACTTTTCATCTTGCTACTACTATGAATAAGTATGTAAGTCTCTAAGAAAGTTGGTTACAGTCACACAGTCAAGTTTTAAATTGTTCCAAATGGTGACATGCCCTTTCATGTTCAACCTTTATCTAGACATGCATATATCTAGACATCTTTGTCTAGATATGCATGTCTGTATATCCCCATTTTGAGAGGGGATCATGCTCAAGCAGTATCAACTCTCCCTGTTTTTATATTACCATAGGAAACTCATCTACATCATAATTTGTCAAACCTTTCTACACTTGGAAATTCATTAACTGATTAATTCCTGGAATACTGAAGGTCTGAGATTCCTTTAAGATGTGTTGCTGATCCTTTGTCTCATCTCGTGTTAACTGAGCAGAAGCCTCTATGCCATGCTGATGACAGAGGCTGTGATGAGTTCAGTGCTTCAGCAGCTTCAGCAGGGTAGGTATCTCAAGAGCCCTAGGCTGTGATTTCTTGGTTAAAGAACATGTGTAGTCTTGATCCCTTTAGGCATTTCATAGCCCTGAGATGGCATCTCTGGATGTATGTTTGCTGGCTTCAGTTTGTGCCTTCTTTTGGTTTTGCCTCACATTTCTGTCCTCTAGCTCAAAACCAGAATGTCAGTTCCTATCCCTATAGTATCGGGTAGCATTTGCCCTGCTCTTCTTCACCATCTTTTTCAGAAATTTTTACTGATCATTGGCACTGTGTCATAGCAAACAGAACCTTATCTTCTCATAAACAATAACATTCACAGGAATCATTCCCAGTTAATGAAACCTCTTACTGTATGTTCCACTGTGCTCATCTTCACTCTAAACTGACCTTGTTAAACCACCATAATAAAGCGTTAGTGTCTCCAGCAGCATTATTGCCTCTTGTTAGTATAATGCATCCTGTAGCCATCATAGGTCCAAAATGTATCTTTGCTCACTGCTCTTTCCTGCCTTGCTGAGCTGAGTTCACATTGGTTTCATTCTTTTTTTTGATCATTCTGTTCTTCACAGTCTTCCTCTCATCCTGCTCTGGTGTACGATTTTCCATGAACCTGAACCATGTCCTTTTACACTGTGACCACTTACGTATTCTTCCAGGGTCAGAATTTTTCTTGTCTAGAAGGGTTTGAAGTAGCCATGTCAGCCTCCAGCTGAATGGCTACACTGTGGCCAAGGAAAGTGATGTACTGTGGTGTCCACATGAGAGGAAACCTAACTGACCAGTAGTTGTCCTTCAGAGCTAGTCTCCTGAGCATTTCCAATAGCCAGAATAAGGTGCAGAACGAAGGAGAGAAAGCAAGGAAGAAGCAGGCTATAAATGGATAGAACAAGGAAATGAAGGACAGAGAAGAGATGAGCCTTATTCCCACCCTTCTGCAGCCTCTGCTGCTATTTCCCAGCCTGTAATATGTCAACATGGTTGAAGTGTGTTGTCATCAGTTTAATATCTTTTCCTGCTTTCCTTTAGGTTTATTAAACTTAACCTTGTGTTTGCGACACATACAGTTAGATATCAGTCAACTGACAGGTTATATCAGCCTGTTTTAACTTGATCTTTTATCTAGTGATGACCATAGCCAGTGCCCCTAATACACACTTATAGGAGGCACCCATGGATATGCCTTCATGGGTTACTACAAATTATTCTACTCCATGTATAGAACCCCATCTCACAGCTAATGCAAGACTGAGAACAGGTGTCAAGTCAAGCCTGTAAATTTCTCAAACTATGTAAAAAATCACTTTGACAATAGGTAGATTCCAGCTTCAACTTGGAGCACCATCCCAGAGCTAGGATCCAGAGCAACCCTGTAGACAGTAATGCTCATGCATCTACAAGGGATGGGTAGTTCCCTATTTGTAGGTTAGACAATTTGGTCTCACCTTTCAAAAACACATCTCTCCTTGGTGGAGAAACTTCTCCCGCTTCCTTTAGTCACCACTGTTGCCCTGGCACATTTCGGCAGCTAGAAGGAGCCATCTTCCTTGAGCAACCTCAGTTTGCCAACCTGTTCTGGTTTGCTTGCCAGTGGCAAATGGGGAACAACAACATTTCCTATGGAACAGATTTCAGGACAGTGGGGATGTCTGTTCTGCCTGGCAGTTTGGCTTCCAATGCCGCTAATTTAATCCACACAAATGATCCCAGAATTAGTAACAAAGCAGAAATGATGTCCCTGTCAGCTAAGGAGACATGGCTGCCGAGAGAGAAGACTTAACCACTCTTCAGGTCCTGTTTTAAAAGTAGGTGGATAATCAGTTTGTTTCTGGTTAGGAAAACAACACTCCTGCCTCGTGGGTATCCTAGCAATTTTGAATATTTCCAAAAGATTTTAGTCCAGTTCCATAATTCAGTTTTTGCCATAAACAATATTTTATAAAGCCAGGCATCACACACCCCTACTGGCTTTCTCTTATTTTCATGTTACAGGTTTATAAACTTAAATGCCTTAAATATCAGGAATTAAAGTTTTGAGGTTTTTCAAACCAGGTTTGTAACATAATCTGGTTAAAGAGAGACAGAGAACTGCTGTTGCAAATGTTGAGTGTTAAATTTAGCATGAGTCATCCCATTCTTTTTATTAACCTGACTTCATTCTTAGTCACCCAGCATAACTGTTCTTTCTCATCTCATCGAGGAGAGATCACCCTTTCCATCACCCTGGCTTGAACTCTGGAATAATGCAGGCAATCTACAGCATATTCCACCTATGCAAACAAATGTAAAGCTTCAGTAATTCTGTGACTCAACAAAAAAGCAAGTATGTGTAGTGTTTGCTATGTAAATGGACTGAATATACGCTGTTCCAACACTTGATGGGCATCAAGCAAACCCTGTCTAAATTAAAGGCTGTTTAATCATTAAGAGTCCCATGCTTTCACTGGTAGAAATAGGATACACTGCCCTTGAGAAAATGTGAAGTGGATGGCCGTCTGCTGTCACTGTGCTGGACTCCACATGAACGCTGTAATGTTTGCGGAGACCTTGCCCAGAAGCAGTGCATAGGACAAGTAATCAAAGAGGAGAAAAAAGTCCCCTTGTCATTCTATCTGCAAGTTTCTGAACTAAAATACACATACACAACTCACTTGTTGGGTTGGGCTTTTTTCCCAGCTTATTCTTATTTTAGATATCCACAAAAATTTTGCCAAACTTTGGCAATTATTTTCTTAGGGTTGCAGAAATCAATACTACCAGACTTAAAGTCATGATACACATTCAGAAAGAGCTGACAAAGAAACAAAATGAGTGACTGACAGAACAATAGGAAATTCTGCTAACAGATTCATAGGATGTTTTCCATTTTATGGCCATGTGGTAGTTTGGTCTAGGCCTTCCTTGGTGACCAGTTTGTAACCAAGGAAGGGTCCAGATTTACCCAAGTATTCCCTACGATTTTTACGTAAGCCAGACTATAAGAAGAAAGGAGGAAAGGTGTTTCAGTGTGTGTACTGAAGTAATGATTTAGTTAGAGGAATAGAGGCTGGAACCAGCAGATCAGCTTTCCAATAAGGAGACAGCCACCTGCCCACCCTTTCTAGAAAGTTCTGTGATGTTCTTTGAAAAGAGCAAAGACAGAAGGAAATGTTTCAACGGAAGTCTCATGTTTATTTCTTCACCTACTAAAGATCTGATTTTATTTTTAATGATGGGAGGATTGTTTGGCAGGGCCTACCCCTGAAAGGGAAAGTCCCAGTGTAATGTTTACATGGGTGACAAGCCAAGCCAACGTATAACATGCAATTCAGAATCTTTGCTAAATTAGCTGTGTCAGAGATGATTTCTTCAGGAAAAAAAAACCAAAAAAACATTGCCTAGTGAGGACAAAAATGTTCTAATTATTTCCTATTAAAAAGGACTTTTAGAAACAAAATCCTGAGATTTTGGCAATCAATTTATTAAATCTTACATAACTGTGAAGAAAAAAATTTTTTTTAAAAATGCTTTCTAAACCAATCCCCACGAGAAAGCTCACTCGTATCTACTGGCTGCTAAGAATACTTCTGAGTCTTTCATCAATCTAATTCTGTCTAGATTTGACAGGATTATATGAAGGCAAATATTAAGAGCGAGCTGATTAGCTTTTCCTAAATCTTTCAAAACATCAGGACAGTGAAAATGGAGATAGGAAATTTGTAAAAAAATTACTCTATATAAGATGGTTTTTATTTTGAAATGGAATTAATATAATTCTAGAAAGTGATTGAAAGAAAATTTTCCTTCCTGTGCAAACTAAACATTCATGAATGGCAATAGAATGAGGGCATGCTTGTGATAAACCACTCCTGGCCCAAGTTAAACAGACAGCACTCTCTTTGATGCTTACAAAGAGATATTTAATTTCATTATATGCTAGCTACTTTCATGACCTCTGACTATTCTTTTTGAGAGAGATCCTTTTTTTCTATTCTATTTTTCATGGCCCATGTAATGCCTTAGTTTACACAAGAGAGAACTGTTCACTGTAAGTGATGGAATTATAAAAGATTCATTGTAGAAGACAGAACTCATTGCTAATACATATATTTGTATTACAGATGCTCTCTCTCTCTCTATATATATATATTTTAAACTACTTCTCTGTATATGATTGCAATTAGAACAAGGAAAACAGGAAGTGCCAGCAGTGTATGATGCATTATCAGCCTGCTAAAACACCTGTGTACAGAATAAGATGGTGGTACAGTGGGCATATGTGGGTTTATATGCATTTATGGCTGAGTACGTTTACTGAAGTATCTCAAGAGTTTTTAGACTTTAAGCAAAGGAATGTAAAAATACATGATAAACAGTTAAGTAATTTTTTTTTCATACAAAGCCCGATTTTTGCATAACGTACTGCTTAATACAAGCAGAAAATTTGCCCTAAGATGATGTTATGAATGATATGTAGTGCTTCTTTTTAAAAAGGTGCAAGGCACCATGTAAATGCAATATAAAGATTAATTATGTTAATAAAGTAATTACAAAAAATGTACACTTTAAAGACTAAATTTTAAAATGTATTTATACTGGCAAATTATGTTTTCTTACCATGAAGTTTTAGGAATGTTAACTTAGTAAAGTTGAAAATACTTCTGTAAATAGTAGAAGTATTTTATTTAGTTTTTTTTTTCTCTGCCTGTCTGGGAAATGAAGAACTTGCATGTTTTGCATGCTTCACCAACAAGCTTTTCAACAAAGTTACAGTTCTGAGAAGCCTCATTAACTCTCTCATAGTCTGTTCACTTTCACTTATCTTATCTGATCAGTTTTTATATTACTTTATTTTTGGTCATTTTAAAACACTGGGACAATGCCCTGAATTGAGAATCTTAGTGTAGCTTCTGAAAAGATGGTTACTTTTCAGGGAGAAGTGATTTCCTGAACCATTAAATAACTTCATTAAATACTTGCTGGCTTTAGACTGATCCCAAACTGTGTCATACATGTTTTTTCTTATGAACTTGATTATTCACAGTTCAAAACAACTGTACAGTACAGTTCTGGTGTCCTCAACAAAGGAAGGACATGGAACTGTGGGAGCAAGTCCAGAGGAGGGCCACAAAGTTGATAAGAGGACTGGAGCACCTCCCCTATGCATAAAGGCTGAGAAAGTTGGGCCTGTTCAGCCTGGAGAAAAGAAGGTTGCATGGAGAACTCATTGCAACCTTCCAGTATGTGAAGGGGGCCTACAGGGAAGCCAGAGAGGGACTTTTCATCAGGAGCTGTGGTGATAGCACAAGAAGTAATGGGTACAAATTGAAAGAGGGAAAATTTAGGTAAGATATTAGGAAGAAATTCTTTACTTTGAGGGTGGTAAGACACTGGAACAGGTTGCCCAGGGAAGTTATGGATGCCCCAGCCCTGGCAGTGTTCAAAGCCGGGTTGGATAAAGCCTTGAGTAACCTGGTCTAGTGGGAGGTGTCCCTGCACATGGCAGCGGGGTTGGCACTAGGTGATCTTTAAGGTCCATTCCAATCCCTTAACATTCTGTGACTGTATGATAAAACCCAGTCACAAAGGACAATGAGTTACAGAGACTGAATGCCTGAATCACTTCAATGTACTGCTTTTCTTTCTCAAAAAAGTAACTGGGTGTATGATACCAGCAAGCTGGAATACCCTTACCTGACTGAGTACCCAACTGCTGTGCAGTGTAAAACAGGATACCATCTGGAGATAGAGTCTGAAACTGTAGTTTGATATGGGTCTTATGGCGAATATAAAAGGGTGCAAATGACATCCATGATGATTCATTACTTCTGAAAGATGGATCACTAATGGAAATACCTGAAAAATACAAGAGAAAATGTCTTCTGAAAGATATTTTGAGAAGGCTGCATTATTACGTTCGTAGTTCATAAATGCTGTACATAAGGCTTCCAATTCTTCCCTTTCCAAAGAATAAAAATAACTTAGATACAGAATAAAACTTAGATAATAGCAAATCAATCCCATTGTCTTCTGTGTGCCTTATTTTCATTAACAATCAAGGCTATAGTTGTAATGCAAAATAAATGTGATCTTCTTAGCATTCATTTTCAAATAAATGTAACTGTAAATTTTACACATTTTAAAAATTCCATGCAAGTACTTTTGTAGGAGTCGGAATAAACATTTCTTTCCTCAAAATACAGATTAAAATCTAAGTGAAGGATTTTTAATGAGCTTCTTTGTGTGTCATAAGAATGTACCTTTTAAGTGGAAAGTGCTCATTAATTGCTTCTGAAATGTTTGGTAATTCATTATCTTATACTGAAATGAAGCACTCACACAATTACTGTTAAGATACAATGTACTCTTTTGAGCTGTACACAACTTCATCATCCTGTCTCAGTGCTAATTCTTCATATGCCCCACAAAATCAGGCTGGCTAAACCTTCTTAAACCAGCTGATAAATAATTATGCTTTTCTATACTGTTAATGTAACTATTTATAATTTTTCTCAGTAAATTGGCATTACATATTTGAGTTATCATAGAATCATAAAATGGTTTGGCTTGGAAGAGACCTTAAAGATCATTGTTTCCAACCCCTCTGCCATGGGGAGGCACATCTTCCACTAGACCAGGTTGCCCAGGGCCCCATCCAACACTCCCAGGGATGGGGCATCCACAACTTCTCTGGGCAACATGTTCCAGTACCTCACCACCATCACAGTAAAGAATTTTTTCCTAATATCCAATCTAAAATTAATCTTTCAGTTTGAAGCCATTCCCCCTTGTCCTGTCACTACATGCTGTTGTAAATATTTCTCAAATTATGTTAGTTATTCGCTAATTCATTATCATGTGGTTGTTAGTTTATTTGTGATTCACTGGAATAAATCAAGCTACTTAAATGTGCAGGGTGTATTTAGACCTGTGTTATAAGCTCTTTTTACTATTTAGTTAAACAGCAGTACTAAATGCCTGAGCTGTAAGTGTTGGCCCCCTCACTTCTCAGTTTTCCTGCTGAAGCTATGCCGCTTCTCTCCTAGGAAGCCAACATCTTTCTTCATTTTGGTGCTCCCAATTTCATAGTTTTATAGTAACTTACTTTCACTTAAATATACCTTCAGTATGTCCTTGTAGTGCATTCTTAGGTAACCTTATGTTATCTTTCCACACTCAAGTTTTCTGCATAGCGTCTGATGGTGAATCCACTCACCATCCAGTTGCACCTTATACTGCTTATTGCAGACGGGCCTTAGTTATTAAGCTGGAGTACAGCCAGCATGCTGCAAGATTTGTGATTTGTCTATTTGTCACACCCCCTCTCTCTGAGTAGGATTCAAGGTGAACCTGGTGGATTGTATCCAGCAGCCAGATGCACCATTATACAGGATCCAGATCTCCCACCTGTTACCAGCATAACCTGACTTGAGGATGCCTTTTGAATGAGTAGTAACAGCACAGCTGACCTTTTCATTAATTTCCCCCAGTAGACTACAGTTAATATGTCTGAGGAAGGTGCATGGATTTGATGTCACAAATTCTCAGTAAGTCTGAAAGTAAGTTTTAATCACTGGAATAGCAATTGTAATGGACTTATGAAATGCTTGAATGATCAGAATGAGGCTTTTGATGAGCTGTTGTTCAATGTATGTATATATTTTCAAATCACTCCCATCCTAAGTATCATAATAGCTGTTATGCATGCTATCAAGGCTAGGCAGTGTCTGTAGTAATACATGACATAATGTCAAAAATGTGAAGTTCCTGGCATCTATACTTAAAAATTGCCAGAAATAAAAGTAGTTTTAAGAATAGCAATTACCCTGGAAGATAAATAGTAATAAAATTTGCTAAACAGATTTGGTGATGTAATTTATATCACTAAAACTTATAAACACTATCAGGTAGAAAAGACAAAGGAATACTTAATATTTCATATGGATTTTTAGGTGCTTGCATTTTTTTCAGTAGGTAAGAAACAATTCTCTCTGTTGGTAGTTGAAGATATAATCCCCGTACTGATGTCTTTGTATTTCAAAATCAATCAGCAATAGTAATTCATTTTGTACATAGACATTGTTGCTTCATGCATCATTTGGAAGTCAGCCTTCTCTTAGCAAATTTTTGCACAGCGAGACTTATATAGGGAGGAACTGTGCCACAGTGGTCAATCTTATATTAAAATATGCTGCTGCTTAAAAGGTCATCCTGGGCAAAGTGTACAGTGAGACATCTGAGAATCTTTATGGCAGATTCAGTTTCACTTTGTCAATGTAGTTAATTCTTTACTGCTTATAGGAAGCAGGACAATGACTAGTGTGAGAGCAAAATCAGCAGGATCGAAATGCTACATTGCTTTTCATTGGGAGGTATATGAAAGGAAGATTGCTATCATAAAAAACCTTGGAGCAGAGAAAGAGAACAATGATAAAAAAGTGGTTTTACACTCAGAGAAAGAATTAAATCCGTGGTTTTACATTACAAATAGAGTATTCAAAAATAACACCTACATCTTCAGCAGCAGATGTCAGAATGCTTTATTAAGGAGGTATTAATCTGATTTATAGATATCAAATACAATATTTAATATACTTCATTCTGAAACTTCTAAGATACAAATATTTCCATTATACTAAAAGGTGGGGGGTTATTCCCAATAAATGTATCTTACAGGTGTCAGAAAGCAACATATTTTGCTACAATGCAGCAGGACTAACTATAGGAACTACTAGAATGACTTCTAATTTGCTTGTAAATTATCTGTAGATCCTGCAAGTGCCAATCGTGTGCATGGAAAAAATCTGACTTGACAGGTACATGGAAATGTGCATCCATATCTCAGAACAGAATGCATTCACTCTACCACTGCACATAGGTGAGCAGTATGAAATTTCATTTTTGCAAAATTGCTTCTATAGAGGGACAAAGTTTTAAGGTGAAGAATAAGATAATTTAAGCTTTTCAATTTGCTTTTATGGCAGGCATATGCAAAAATAGCATATCATGTCAAAGGCTGAGGTACCTCACCGTTGTGTTCTTGACAGCAAACGTTTTTTCTCACCTAAGATAAGAAAATAAGAAGCTCAGCTCAGCCTGCACAAGACAGTGCCTGTTTTACATATGCTTTCTCCAGAGAAACTCTTTGCTAAAGCAAATGAGGTGAATGGATGCCTTTGCCAATCCTATAAGCTGAATTGTAGGACTTGTGCTGTTGTAACTACTGCAGTACTCACTGCAGCACTCACCAGTGCATTTTAAGCACAACAGGCATTTAAGCAAATACTTCTCTATCTGATTGATGACCCGCTTTTCTAAGCTGAATATGAGTATCTGATGAAGCTGAACAGAATCACAGAAGCACAGAATGGGTAAGGTTGGAAGGAACCATGGTGGGTCATCTGGTCCAACCTCCCTGCTTAAGCAAGGGCATCCTAGAGCACATGGCACAGGATTGAGTCCAGACAGTTCTTGAATAACTCCAGTGAAGGAGACTCCACAACCTCTCTGGGCAATATATTCCAGCTTCCAACAAGAAGGTGAAGGAAAATGTGAGTCACTCCTCAAAGGAGTGTGGACCTAATAACAAAGGACACAGAAAAAAACCATGTTGGCTCATTTTTCACTTGGTAAAGCGTGATTAAACCTCTCAAGTCCCTGAATCTGATAGCTGGGCTTGGAGAAGTGAACCATCAGTTCCACAGTGATGAGGCAGGTGCTAAGGTCAAGCCTGCAAATAAATCAGTCTGTGAGTCAAGGTCCGGGTCTGGATCAAGTGGATCTTGACACTGCTGCAGTATAGTTCAGATGGGATCAAGGGGCATTTAAAAGCTGCTCCTGAAGCAATACAGGAGGAAGCTCCTGTTGGGGTTCCTCAGCAAAGCTGTCTTTGAGACCAGAGACCAGCTCCATCTCTATGGGCTAACAAACACTGAAAGCTTTAAACTCCACAGTCAGAAACTTTTAATGCTTTAATTTGATTGGAGATAGAGAGTGAGTAGCTTCACCAGTTGTTTTTTTCAGTTTGGAAAACAATGGCAAGTCTGTCTGTATGAAAATCTTCATCTTAATGCAATACAATTTGATTAAGGTTAGTTCAAAGATTACTAATATTGCATGGGCATTGTTTTTTGCTGTATAAATATTTAGAAAAACTGAAAAATATTAATTTTGTCTTATCTAAATGTAAATGTATTTTTCTGTTGAATTACCACTTATTTAATCTTTGAAGTACTAACTTGTCATAACTTATAAACTAATTCATGTATAGTGAAAAAAGATTATAGTTCAACTTTTAGTGCAGTAATAAGCACATGTTAACATGCATGTTAACAAAAATATCAATTATTAATACAATTCAAATATAACTATTAGAACAATGTACTCATGAAATCTGATCTTGGCAGACCAGCAGCCATTAGTGATCTTTGCTGTCCCTGAAGAGGAGAGACTGAGGCAATCATTATTCTGAGCAATACTGGAACAAAACCCTGCAATTTTGTAAGTGAAGTTCTGTTTGGTTTTGTTGCAGTGGAGTTGTAGTCTCTACTGTAAGCTAATTAGAGACCTAATTAGCTAAGAACTAATATCTACGAGCATATGGCTAAATCCCTAAAGAGATCTCTGGTTTTCCAAAGCCTAAAATAGCTATTACTAGCCAAAGTCAAAACAGTAGACCTCAGTCTTTCAGTATGACACATATTAAGAAATTAATGCCTATCAGTAAGTCATCCAAGCCAGAAAATTGTAGTGGGAGCAGCCATGAAACCTCAGTACTAGGAAATCGTTTGGACCAGAAATCTAAACCTGATTCTCCTGCATCTGAGGATATGGATATTATACCCAGGATATGGATA